ACAGTTATATTTCTATTACATTCCACAGCATATATACACAATATTTACAGTTTCAAAAACACAATTAAGATAGTTTTCCCATTAAAGATCTTACCACTAAATTTCTAAGTGCTGTGGCCTAGTTAACACTCTTTGGGAAGGACTATTACAAATGAACTACTTCCCCAATAAATTCTGCTTGTTTTTATACTACTTTTATGAAACATTCCAGCTATTATTTCACACATACCCTTGTGCAGTTCTAGAAGTGTGAAAATTGATTTAGTTGAAAAAAAAGGAAGAAAATTCACAAGAAGCTATAAATGAAGGTATATACACACAGGTCTGCCATTTGTATCAGGGAAATTAGAAAGCTGTTTTCCAGCCATTATATAATCTCTAATCATAGTGGTTTGCTGCTTATGCAGGTACAATGAAAACATTTTCATGTTCTCTGTTTACATGGGCCTTAAAGTCAATCATAATTATATCTCTGAAGATGTCTAATTCAGTATTACTTATGCAGCAAATGGTCATAAAATAGTAAACATACAAGACACTAAATATAGTCATTGATTCGTGGCCATTGTGTATTTCTTATGGAGAAACCATTTAAATTGCCACTCAGATCAGGTGTTTTGAGTATGCATTATTCTGACTTTATTCCGCCTTCTCAGCATTAGGAAAGGGCATAATTCAACATATCAGTCATGAGAAAAATCATAAACTCAGCAGGAATTTTTAAGAGCACTATCAGTACCAGTACTGATCTATACTAGGATAAATGCATTACTCCACACCCAGATGAAAGTTAAGGAGTTGGTATCCCAGTGGAAGAAATTAGGGGGATTCTTTTTGACCCAGTGCACCAGTTACCACAGCTTCATCACAATTAAATCACAGGGGCTGGGAAGTGGCAGGTCAGGATCCTTCCCAAAGTTATGAATAAAATACTTTATTTTCCTCCTCTATCCTTGCTGCACCCCACAGCCACTAGCTGCCCTCAGTTAAAAGCAGCAACTCTTTGTGAAGCTAAGTTTAACTTTTTCTGCATTTAATATTTGAACTCATCATCTCTAACTTAAACTGAGAAAAACTGATTTGAGTGCACAAACACTGCAGAGTTTCAAGGAATAAGGTTAAAAAAAAAAAAAAAAGTAAGAATTTTTAAGTACAAAAAGTACATTTTATCAAATGTCTGCTGGAGAGAAAGGAGCCAAACGAGTGGTCAGAAAATTCAAATAAGCAGAAGGAAATGAAAGGAAAGGAGGACCAAGCTGCAGATAAGCAATGGCAAAACTAAAACAAATAAATAAAAGAGAAAAGTAACAATGGTATGAGTTTCTAGAAGACTGGAAGTGAAGCATAGGAACTTAAAATTCATAGAATAAGAAACAGAAAAACTGCAGTAGTTTGTTTTGCTTTAGTGCACAATAAACACTGGAGTGGCGTGAAATTACCTACAATGCAGATTACATTCCTGTGCAGTGCTAAATGTGTCCATGCTATTCTTTTACTGTGGTATTGCTAGCTAGCATCAGTGCTTTTGGTATTCATAGAGAGATGCAAAAACATGGCTCAAGACTTTCAGAATGTAAGAGTTGATTTGCTGATGCACAAAAGACAAAGATGTTCATGAAAGAGAGAAAGAAAAAACAGCTGCTTTCATTGCCACGAAATTGCCCCAGGTCTTTGCTTCAATCTGTGTTTATTTATAACTGAAGTACCCTTCCCCAACACATTTTTAAAAATTATTTTTAATTCTGCCAAAATTTGTTGATAAGACTAAAATATTTTGACAAAAGCTGCAGTTGTATACTTCTCTCTTGAATGGAAGGGGAATACCATGGGAAGAGTAACGGTACTGTCAAATTTTCATGAAGATCAGCTAGAAAAGGAACATCATTTACACTAACATTGTACCAAACAACCTGCTGATGTCAGTGCTCGTTACTTAAATTTAGTCAGAGCACCCTAACATAATTATCCATGATTTGAATTATGCTAGTAACCGTAACAATATTATTGCTCTTTATAGATGAACAATGCATCAAATATTACTGTATGACACTGATGGGAATGAGGAATCTACACAAACACAGAATACATATGGTACATATATACAGCAAGAAGCAACCACAGCTATGGCAGTGAGAGAACAAAATACAAAGAAGATATGAGAAAGATGCATTAGCTCCCTTTAGTTGACAGGCACAAGTAGGTTTCAACCCACCTCCTGTAATAAAGCTAAAATCCACTTATTTTTGTTCAACTTCCAGAACAGCCAAGCAGCATAGATCCAGAGAGTTGTGAATTAGGACAAACACAAGCCTAAAAATGATGCCTAAACTTCAGCAAATTTGTCAAGTACTTTGATTGAGGTTGAGAATATGAGTCCAAATGGGTATACAGGAAGCAATCATTTTTTCATGAAGAATACGTACTTTACTGTGCACACAAATTCTTCCTTTAGAATGCTATAAATTCCAGTATTTATGGAATCTTAATGATCTAAACACAGTTGGAGCCTGAAGGTCAAGGCTGCAAACTGCATCCTAAATTTCTGTTTACGGATGAAGCATATTATTTATTGCTGCACTGCTTGTGCTGCTATAGTTAAAGGGCTGCCAGCATCTCCATTATAAACCCCTATTTCGGGGCTTTATAACTTGCCCATCCATCTTCCCGCTGGCATGAAACATGGCATATGAGGTCCTGACTATGAGACTGACTTTTGTTTTGTTTTCTTTGCCAAATTACAAGAAGTAAAGAATGAAGCTATACAAACAAAAAAGTACATTTTTTCCCCAAATATTCCTAGTGTACGTGTGATACTATCCAGTAATAGCTTCATAACACAAAACATTTTTGTATAACTGCATCAATTAGTAGACAGATTTTCACTCTAAACAGGGAAAAATAACTCAAATACAGACATACTGTTAGATAATTTTTTTTTTTTTTTCCCCCAAAAGAAAGTATATCAATGACTTTGGAGGTCAGGAACGGAATTCAGAAGTCTACCACTGCCCTGATTCTGTTTGCATTAAATTTAAGCCTACACTATGATTGCATCCCTTTTTAGCAGTACAAATAATGCTTTTTTAATTTTTTTTTTTAAGTATTAAAATTGATGGTACATAAGGTGTACACTACTTTATGTACTACACATGAGGCTAGGTAAAACAGTTCAGAGTAAAGCCACAGGCAGTGCTTTCCCACAGACTCTGAAGTAACCTTATCATCTGCTATTAAATCTTGTATCACATTTAATGAAATCAGGAGAGGAAACTTTCACCTCCACCACATCTACTTTGCCAGTGTAAGTACTGCACTATGTGCTAAGGGCTGCTGCGAGCAGGAAGGTGAAAAACTTAATTTACATTATACCTGTATATCTAGCAATTATGACTTGCTGAATAACAAGCATTAATACTGAAAGCACTGCAAGAATTTAAACATTGTGAGACCTCAGAAATTCCTCTCATTGGAATCCTAAGTTTTGGCATTCTTTTTTTCTTTTTTAAAAAATCAGGATAAATTCAGACACAGGGACAGATTCAACGATCTACTGCTGCGATGCAACACGGATGTTATATTCAGAATTTTACAGCTTCTTTGCTACATCAAACCAGTTCAAACAAGAAAGACACCAGTGTTAAATGTGGAATACTATTCTTTCTTTAGTAACATTTCACTGTATTTCTTCATATTATGAATGCAGTCATGGCAGGAATTAAGTAAACTAGTCCCTCCCCAAACATCATCATTATATTTTCTTCATTATAGCTCTGAGGATCTTATTCACTGACATTGTAGAGTTCTCCACAACTACCTTGTCTTTCCATTTTGGTATTGTTAAAAGACGACTGCATTTGTTTTATGCCATTCCTAATGCTTGGTAGAATCTCTTCCTCCTGATGCTGTATCTTTTTGCTTTTCTCCCAAAGTCTGCTTCTAACATCTGTCTAATTTGTGCCCACTTCAAACAGTCACTTGCGCCAATTTAAACAAGGCATTTGACAATTTTTCCCATCAGTTGCAACAAAATAGTGTTTTATTACCTCAGTTAGCTCTGCCTGTAAGTACATTTGTATTCTCACATAACACAGATCCCTCAATTCCTTCCGTGTAATGGTCCCTCTGGTCTGTCTTCTGTCTCCTGTATTATGTATGCTAGCTGATTTCAGAGATCTTTTTTGGATATGCCAATCATTTCACTCTAAAGTCAATCCTGGGTATGGCTTTAAGGACAGTTCTGCCAGGTGATGCCCCCAATAGAAAGTATGTATGAGTCATTGGGTAGATTTAAAGGACTCTACAGCAACGTGTCTTTGTTCTATAGCCCAGGCTATACAAAACATATACATGGGGCCAAGGAATCTGTGGGTCACTGATAGAGATCTGCAGACCTTCTTAAAAAGTAAAAAGCAGAAAATAGAATGATGATGACATTTTGAGATCAACCTGGCTAGTGCAGCTGAATATGTGTTAGAGAAAAAAATCTAACAGGAGATGGGATGCTATGAATGGTGACTAAAGCTCTATCACTCACTCTGGCATGTTGTCTCCAATTGGTTGAAAATCAGACAAGGGCTATGTAATTAAATATGTTAAATAATGATGCACAGGATCTTGTATAATTCTGAATCTTCAATGAACTATGCAAGTTTTAAATAAAATATAAAATGGAGATTGTAAAGCACTATAAGACTTCAAAATATTTTCCATTTTTAAAAGCTTACTGTACCAACTAATACAAGTATCTGTCACACTGCCTGAGTTGCCATCACAAGTACATCTTGTTAGCAGCAATGTCATGACTGAAATGCTACTCTGCTGCATTCTAATGACCTCTTGTAAAGTAATGGATTTGTTTTCTGCAGAAAATATGAGATAAAAAAAACCCTTAATCTTGGATACTCATTTCAATTTCTTTTAGAAGGGAATGACAGTTCTGAAAAACAAGCAGTGTAAGATTAGCATTTTAGGTCAAATGAGGAACATGTAAAACATCCTACCTGTAAAGTCCTGGAGGAGCTTGCTGAACCAAGAAGCTTTTCTCCAGGCTTTGCAGCACATCGTTGAGCATCCTGACTCTGATAGGAGCTCTCTCCCTCGGATCATTCGCTGGGCGCATCTCATCTGATTGGAACAATTCTGCAGTGTCCCTCAGGCGTGATGCCACTGCAAGCAATTGAGAAGCATCTACTTCTTCACCTAGGAACACTAAAAGAAAGACAGTTGCCAGTGCTTCTGGTAACATCATTCAGAACTCTTCCTCATAAATTAAAAATTACAGTTGAGTTAGATCCTGAGCCTCCCTCTTAAGAGTTACGTAATGGGCCAAGGAAAGCCACAGATCATTGTCCATATGCTCTCATCTGTTTTTCAAAGAGGATCGATATGGACTGTGATATTTTGAGATCTCATAAACTATGAGTTTGTAACCTACATTTAAAAATCAACCATGACGAAGCAATGTTTAACTGTCAGTATCAGTAAAGTTGCCTTCTGAAACCCTTTTCTTTCCATGCCATTGGATGCTACTGCTCTCAAGTATGAAAGAGGGGCTCGTGTTTAGATTCCATATTGACTGCTATATAAAAGAATATAATCTATGGAGTTTCATTAAATTTCTTTCAACATTTTAAAATCCGTGGCTTAACAACACTTTTCATGTACAGGTTTGGTATCCTTCTCGTTGAGTCTGGAGGAATATAAAGTAAGTTAGGCCAATACCCCAGAAAACTATTCTCCAAGCATATGAATTTTGTGTTGGAATACTTTGCAAAATATCTGTATCCTCAGTTTTCAAATCATAGGCAAATCTCCTGCACAGCTGAAGACCTTGCAGGCAATGTGCATACCTCACATTGAGACTTGCATCAGTATGGAAAGGTTTAAATTCACTGTTAGAAGTAATGCTTTGGTTTTGACCAAGCACTTCATACTCTAATATACAATATTTATAATTTTTATTCTGAATATGATATAAATGATTGTAAACACTAGCTCTGTCTTCAACAGGGAGGGATAAAGACAAGATACATCATTCTGTATTTGGAAATTAATCCATTCAGACCACACTTTCAAACAAACAAAATGCAATAAATGCTCATACTGCTTCTCCATAGTATTCATTTTGTCCCTAAACCAGCTACATTTCCTTCTGTTTCACTGAAAAACAGATCATATCACAGTTTAAACCAGCAAGCATTACAAAACAAACACTTCAGATTGTGGTCAGAAAGAACTACTGACACTGCTTTAAGGGCATCAGTGGTTTATATCGCAACACGCTGGACTTCAATGCCAAAGGAAACCGTGATTTATGCTTTGCTCAAGTTGAAAAGCTGAGATTGGAAGGGCAAATGATTTCCAAACAAATTAACTAATAACAACTTAAAACTCTCTGTGATGATTCTACAGATAAAAGAAGAAAATGGAAGCATTTCTTCTCTCAAGAGAAAACAATGACATTATATTTGTATTCTCTGTCCTTATCTCTGCAGTATGAATCATGATGAATCATCTGAGTAGCTGTTTAGTTCTTAAATAAATAAAATTGCAAGCAAAGGAAAGTGACTCCAGAGTATATACTATGCTCTCAATCAGTGAATTATACTGCTGAATGTTATTACACTTGCTAAATGGAACTGGATTTTATTCAGTAATAGGTTACATCAAATATATACATATATATACACATATATATATATTACTATTGTTATTTTACAGATTCTGAGCATAGTAGCCTTCCTTGTGTAAGCGCCTGCTCTAATGAAAAGCAGTGAGAGTGATTCAACATTTTTAAATTGTGTTTGTGCCCCCTAGGACCAATGTGCTTGCCTAGGAAGAACAGGAACAGATAAAACATCATGTAGGGCATGACACACTCCATGCACGTGGACATGTGTTTGCACGTAAGAGGGGAAATTGCTTCAGGTTTTGATTAGATGGAACATTCAGGATTGGCTACAGTATGGTGCTGCGTTAACGAGAAAGATTTTTCATGCTGTGCAAAATTGGATGATCAGGTCTGGCAGTAGAAAATCTGAAAGTGAAAGCTTTGTAGAAATTATGCTAAAGGGGGGAGAAACATAAATCCAAGGACATTCTCACTGCAACAAATACGTTGCCATCAGCTTTGATTTTTCTACCATGACTGCTGTTGCCCAAGCTAACTAATCTGCCGTTGCTACTACAAGTCTCTTTTCAAAGAGACATTAAAAAGGCATGTTGTGACATTTTATTATGCACATCAACGCACAGGAAATTATCAATGGCTTTGCACAAAACTGCTGAACCAAATATAGAGTACTGATACTGAACAGATCCCCATCCTTCTATTTCAGTACCAAATGCTTTCTTCATAGAAAGAGCATTTTTGCATCATTTTCTGATGTAAGATTTACCAGTATTGATATGTAATATCCTTGAAAGGACACTGAAGTATATCACAGCAAAAAAGGTATTTCTGTCATACTTACAGAAAACCGTTGCCTTTTTCATTTCACTAGGAGTCAAGAATAATGGGTGGGAATAATAGAGAAAACTTTCTGAATGTTACAGGGATATGGAGTGAGCAGCTCTGAAGAGCATCCTAAATGATCAGGGAAATATGGTCAAGCAGGTAAAGTGTTCCCAAGCTGAAGACTAGTAGATAGCTGTAGGCAATGAGCGTGCAGTCATCAAATAAATGACAGAGAGATGTTTCTGTACTGATTTTTCTAAGGACAGGGAGTTCAGAATGATGTTTTGAAATGTATGAGTGGAGCCAGGCCTGTGGAAAGTTATGCAGACTTTCCTGGAAATAGCTTATCAAAAACCAGATTATTTTTTAACTCCTGCTAGCACTACCTGCTATCTTCATCACAAGTATTTCAGCTGCCGTAACACCTGTAAAAAATCCATTCTGAGAAGAAGAAAGGACCTAACTGATCAGAACAAACAGGCAACTGACACTATGTCAGCTATAGAGCTTTTCATCACAGCTTTTGCCTCCTTATACGTCAAAACAGGAAATCTCATCCAAATATTAGTAATTGATCCACCATCTTGATGGAGAAATTTCATATCAAAGCATTCGTCCTACACCCAGAAAATAGTGCCAAGCAACCAATTATATCTGCATCTACCAATTAATTCTGCTTCCTTTAAGACCAGGAACTTTTTGCACCTCTAACCCCAGCCCATTGTCTGAAACGCATCAAAATCATTCAGCTTCAAATACAGAGCTTCCAGGGAACCTGCTTTAGCACGGGGGAGGACTGAATGATTTCCAGAGATCCCTTCCAATGGTTCCACAATTTGATGATACGCATTGGTAAATGATCGGTGCTTTGTCATGGTTGAGAAAAAAGTTAGCATGACTCACTGAGAGGGGAGCTATGGCAGTAATCAAACAAGGAAGATGACAGCTAAGATTTCAGAGACAAACAGCAATGGGATCAGAAGCCCTCTCTAGCGTGTACTGAATGCAGTCTTGAAGGGAATTAAAATCAAGGAGTTCAGTCACAGCGGTTGTTATCTTTGACTGCAATTATGAGATTTTAACACCAATTATTATTTAACTGACATGGTAACTTCAGAAGAAATATAAACAATTTATGGCTTTATTTACCAACAAAAAGTATTATATAATGATGCTATTTAGCTGGTAAAATCACAGGCTATCATTCAAGTGGAAATGGAAAATCTGTATCAGGGACTGGATGCCCCCTTTTTTCTGTAAGATTCCTCTAAGAAGAATTACCTCTCAGACTGTTCTGAACTTCCAGAGCGATGTCGAGGGCATTAAACGGCAAAACTGGTTCATTGGCAATTTGCAAAGTGGCATGTCCTGAAAACTGAAAAATACAAAAAAATACACACAAAATTGTCAAATGGTTTTAAACAATTTTAATAGCCAGCACTTCTGAATCAAACACAGTTTGATTACATTTGATCTTTGAGAAAAAAAATGATTAATATCCCATAGGCACATCTCTGTGAAAAGGGGAAAAAAAATAAAAATAGACCATTGTCTTTCTATTACCAAGTGAAAAGATGGAAAGGGATTATAAGTCATGAACCCATAAAAGAATTATGCCCAGTATTTTTCTTCGGAACTAGAACGTTATAGTAGCCTCTGCATTGCTTTAGTTTTGCTTTGTTTTCAAATAAAGCATCTCAACTTCCTATAAATAGGAATGAGGGTTGTTTTAGTTCTCTGGTTTTAATCATCAGATTTTAAGAGTTTACTTACAAAAACAAACAAACAAAAACAAAAACAAAAACACAAACATTAAGGAAGTTCAGATCAAACTCTTGTCTAGAAATCACACGGCTAACTGTAAGCTCACCGGAAAATCATCTTGAAGACATAAGTAACGACTTGATACACAGAGATGTACAGTTACAAAACTGGATTTTCTCAGGATCTTACAGAAAGAAATTCCCAAATAAGTGAAAGGGAACTCAGTCCACCTTGGACTAGATACTAGCATGTCATGAAACTCAATGCACTGAATGCTTCTTTTCAGCAGTTTCAGAGACAAGGCCAAGGACCGACTGTTTTTTCAATTACAGAAGACACATTCCAGCTCAAGGCTTCGACATGATACAGAGGCTATGTGTAGAAATGTGTCTTTCTGATGGACTATACTTAGCCTGTGATTAAACAGAGCATTCTGATCTCTAGGCTGCTAAGTCCATCACTGTTTGTGGCAGCTATAAAAACACTCTGACAAAACCATGCAAGAAACTTTCATTCATCTCTTTCGTACCTTGATATTGCAAAAAGAATAAAAACAGCTGTAAGGCTGTGCTTTAAAATGGAATGATGGCTGCAGGTGATATGATCCTGTTGGCAAAAAATGTGGACTGAAGAAAATCATATCGTTCAATGCTTCCGCAGGTGTTGGGGGGTTAAAATAATATCTGTCTCTCAAAAGCAATATGATAGCAGCTATGCTGAAAGTAGCATTTTAATTCTAAGATAAAACCAAGTAGGAAAAGACAACAATCCCCAATAACACTGAAAACAACAGTACAGCAATTGAAGAGGAAAAGTCTCTCCCTGGAAAGTGGATGAAAACGGTAATATCAGGAAGACAAGTTTCCTGGAGAAAGATTAATAGAACTCCAGCAACAATTCTAAGAAAGCATTTGGGAAATAGTTTCTGATCTGACCACAGACTGAGTTGGATACAGAGACCAAAGAGACTGCATATCAGACTGCAGCCTACATTGGAGCAGAGGCTTACTCTGGAGGTACTGAGAGTTACCTCTAGGAAATAAAATACTGCCAAAGTCACGTAGAAGAAAAGTAGGAAGTAATATTACGTCAGGATATTATCAGAAGTAAAGAACAAGTTCATATCATCCAGCCATAAGCAACTGCAAACATCTGTTTCTAGATGTCCAAATGCCATGTAAAATCCTTCTATGTCCTGCATTGAACTTCAAGGTGCAACTGCCTACAACATCAACAACTTGTGAGTTGCTGTAGAAAAGAAATTGTGGCAAAGAAATACCATCCTATTAAAGAAAAGGCATTCTATAGCAAGCCCAAACCCACTGAATTCTAAATTTTGCCATATGAGAGTAAACACTGAAATCCTTCCATGACACCCTTTTCTATTTCTTCCAAGTAATTTTATTTTGCTTTTTGATTACAGGAGACTCAAGTTTTCTCTTTGCAGTTCAAATGCAATTCTACACAAAAATATCATGAGTAACCAAAGCATTCGGGAACTTTGTTACTCTGCAAGTAATGCTACAGATATTTGTGTGACAGTAAATAGAAAACAGTGGTGTTTATTAAATCATGCACTTTGGGGGCTAATACAGAAGTAATAATCAATCACACAAGGGAAAACTCAGAGCATTGGTTTGAAGAGAGTAAGTAAAAATTCTGCAGAAACATATATCAAATTCACATAATGCACCAAGACAAGAAAGGCCACTGATTTCTTATTTATAGTCTTATTTTTGGATATACCATTCCCCTGAGTACAACACAGAATATACACAGACAATAAAGATAAGCTTCTGACCCCTTTTCCCCACTGAGAAATGGTTCAGACTGACTACTGAATTATTAAATGCAAGAATAACTTAGTAAAGAATAAATGCAACTATTTTCTCACAAACTGAAATGATACAGCAGCATAATTTATTCCATTCCCACACTGAACTGGTTATAACACACTTCTCAGTAACATTTATACATAATGCACATACAGCACACCATTGATGTAACATATGCACAGTCATCTAGACTAAAGAAACAAGTACTAGTTCAAATGCTAATTGAATCGGAAGCTCTTTTCTTTTGCAATTTAAAATGAAAAAATAATGAATAACTTTGCTACCACACTTGATTTTGGTAAAGATAATCTTCAGTAAACTAAAAGGCATTTTACAAACTTCGAATTACTTTCAAGATAAATATAAGCTTGATATAATAAATATCAAAAACACAATGATAACGGGAGTGACATGGTATATTGCAAAATAAATCTGAATATTCAGAAAAGGTTTATAACTATGAACCACACAAGGTAACATTTTTCAAGAAGAGTACAAGAATCTTTATAGGAAGCAAATACAAGTCAGCTCTATCCCTAAAAGACAGCACAACCATAAAATAGCAACTGGATTAAATACAGGATGCGTTCATCTATGTAAAAAAGAAACATCCTTTATCTCGTTAGCTTTTTCACATTGTAAATAGGAAAATGAGCTAAAGTTGGAGAAGGAGGGGACACTTTCATCACAGAAAATGTTTTTTTTTATGGTGAATCTGCATGCTATTATTGACATGTCTTAAATCTTTACATCTTGACTGCTGTCCATTTTAGATGGACAATGCAGGGATGGCAATCTGTTTTCCATCCTATCATGTATGCTCATGGCTGAGGAAAGGGCATATAAAGACATTGTGCTGTTTAGGGTGGTAAATAACAGCATGGCATAAATACTATTTAACTCTGTTTTCCTTCTTTTTTATTCTTTTAAAGGTAAATTAAACACTAACATTTGGGATAAGTTGTTGCATTGTCTAATCTCAGGAGTACATCTCCCTGCACCAAGAACTCCCTTTCCACTTGTAGTGACCAGCACAGTGATCTGCTGAGATCCAATGGCATTGACCCAAGCATCAACAATGGCTTCAGTCTCCAAACCTGTGCAAATAAGGAATAAATCTCTGCATGCATCACGATCCCCTCTCAGAATCCCAACAATAGCAATCTCAAACATTAAAATAATCAGTCTTCTCATCCTACAAAATAAAATATTTGATAACATGGGTATATTTCCCAAATTTACTTTCTGCTGTTTTTTTTTCTTTTCCAGTCCTCCACCAAATTAACAGATTTTTTAATCAAGCACAAAAACAAAGTCTGTTTAAATGAAACCTGTGATTCCCAGGCAATAGCATGATTTCAGCATCCAGTATTACAGGATGAATGGCAGTAATCATGAGACTCATGATAAATTAAGAAGTGTTTTTAACCTGGAGATCTCAATGTACCTTAGGCATTTTTCCTGTATAATTAGTCTTCACACTTGCTCTTATTTTATTCAGCACCCCCAAAAACTAACCAGATCATAAAAGAAAAGCCTGTGGCACGTGGATGAATAAATGACTGGTTCTCTACCTTCATTTTTATGAAGCACCAGAAGGATACTCCCCTGATTAGACAAAGAAACAGAAATCTGGTCATACACATGCAACCATATTTGCTTTGAACTAAAGCTGTTAACTTCTGAAAATTCAGAACTTCTCAAAAATTCAACAGAACTGTATTTGTTTTTGTACTGAAGTGTACCTCAGTATCACGACACGTATTAACACCACAGCTCATGTGATACTTTGGGCTACCTGACATTTGTCTCCAAGTCCTGTGTTTTAAGTCAGTAGAGGGCTCTCTGAGAAAAGAATATAAGGAGTCCATGGCTGCAACAGGTGAACTAGAGCACAGTGATCCATAACTATAGCTGTTTGATGGCTGTTTGTAACCAAGGGAACTATAAATCATACCTGAGATCTAATAAGTATTAAAAGTCCTATTTCATCATTGCCTGCATCATTTCAAAACATTTTATTTATTATCAGCATGGTAAATACTGACTACGAAGTAAAAACGTTAATGAACAAAGCACCCCTTCTCCCTCTCTGATGGTATCTGATGCTTAAATTATGTTATTAAAGCGGCACACAGCATCAGGCAACCCAAAAGTTACACATTAAAACACAGTGGAGTTGTGGTAGCTTGGGCAGCTTACTGTGGAGCATATAAGTTCTCTATTTACATTTGCTACCTCTTCTGCATGGCTCATGTCAAGACTGACACACTGAGAGATTAAGGTCAAAAGGATTTTCCTATGTGATAACTTGCCTAAAACCTAATTTGTTAGCCAACATTAACATACAGCACTTAGAAGACTGAAAGTAAATTCCTTACTTTCAGTAAGGAAACTCCTCACTAAATTCCTAGAGATTTCATTCACATTTGGTAGGGGGTCATTCATTTCAGTGCCTTACATTACTGGCACATAAAATGAACTCATACTCATCTCTGGTTTGGTGGCTGTGCATGTGTAGCAGTTCCTACATTTTAAATATTTATATAAATTAATTGGAAGTAGAGAGAGACTGGAAACTGGGATGATGTCTGTCCCCTTATGGCAGTTCTCATGTTCTTGTTACTGCAGCAACAAAGAACAGGGATCATTAACTCAATGTCCAAGGTAATGGCACATGTATAAATGAACAGGCACTTATGGAACTGAGGCAGAGTAATTTCATGTCTGTACAGAAGACACAGTGGTAATACTTACATAGGAAACTGTGAAGCTA